ATTGCTATCCCTTTGATGTCCAGATATGAACTCTGTACATCAAATGTTCGGTCACAAGGGGAAGAGTCTCAAAGAGGAGCTCTAGTCAAAGCCAAATAAAGTCAGGAGTTACAAAAACTGTAGTTGCTGACTTTAAAAAAACATCCACTCACCTGTCTCTGATCCAGCAGTGTGCTCACTGCAGCCAGTTTCATGGCCATCCTTGCTCCCCAGTGCTGGCATCTTAAGTGTGGGCATCCGGCAGTGACAGCTTGCGGCTTCACAGCAAGGTGCCCACTGCACAAGCGCGAGTAGCGCTGCACCTTGTGAATGGTCCCGTAGTCTTCTGGGACCTGTCACGTGTCCCAGAAGACTATGGGGAGGAAGGGGAGGACGACAATATCTGCTTCCAATCGCCTATGCGATTGCAGCGGAAGTGGGAGCAGGTACTGGCCAAAATCGGGTACCCGCTCCCCAAAGGTGCTAATTCCTCATGGGAGCGAGGGATCAATGCTTAAAGTAGAACTTCCCCTTTTGGGTAGATGTCTGCTTTAAGACAGGTGAAGTGTCACTGGGTATGAATTGCCAGGGTGTCCACAATGTCCTGTACTCACAGGAATAGAGGCTGGGTGTGAGTCAACTCAGAATAGGAGTTGCATCTAATGGATGCACAGATATTCTGCAAGTGACAATGCAAGATTAAAGCACCCTTTTTAATTCTTACAAATACTAGGCCTACTAGTTTATAAAGCGTTAGTAAAGTTTACTTAAAGCGGAGTTCCACTCACTCTGTAAAAAAATAAAAGTCAGCAGCTACAAAAACTGTAGCTGCTGTCTTTTAAAAAACAGCCACTCACCTGTCCCACTATCCCGCGTTGCCTACGCCACAGCCTGTTTCTCCGGCCGTCCTGTATTCCAGGCACCTTCAGTGTGGGCACCCGGCTGTGACAGCTTGTGACTTCACAGCCGGGTGCCCACTGCACATACGCAAGTAGCGCTGTGCTTCCTGAATGGCCCCGGTGTCACCTGTCACATGTCCCACAAGAGTTCGTGGAGGGAGGGTAGGAGGACAACTTCCATTTCCGATCGCCTAGGCAACTGCAGCGGAAGTGGGAGCGGGTACCTGTCAAATTCGGGTACTCGCTCCCCAAAAGGTGCCAATCCTTAATGGGGAGCGGGGGACCAATCATTAAAGCGGAACTTCCCCTTTTGGGTGGAACTCCACTTTAAAATAAAAATATTCTTAAAAAAATCTTCTCCCTGCGAGGTAATGTTATAATGTGCTAGTTTGCATTGCATACCATCACATTATAAAAGACTTACCTTGAAATGAAGCCCTTCAGCAGTGCATTGTCACCGCTGACAGGGCTTTCATCTTCACCTGGTCTTCCCTCCGGGTGTGTGGGCTCTGGCCACTTGAATGGCCGAGCTGGGATTACATCACTCCTGAGGATGCATGTGGGAGTCTCAGCTCAGGCACAGAGCTCTGAAGGAACGGTGCAGGTATGCTGTTCCTGACGTCTCTGGCTGCAGGACACCTACAAGTAATATCCCCTAAATGGTGCATGTTTAGGAGATATTCCTTGTACTTACAGGTAAGCTTTATTATAAGCTTACCTGTAAATAGAAGTGTCCACTAGGAGTTTAGTACCACTTTATGTAGTAATCTCGGCAGGTTTGATTTACAGTGAATTCACATTAAAATCGGTGTGTGTTCGACTCTTGTAAATCAATTCTGGTGATTTTTTTTTTTTAAGGGCAACTAGGTAAGCTAACATCCAAAAATGGCAAAGAAAACTATGAATACAAGAGACATTTACTAATGGTATTGGTTTATTTAAAAATATTAGCAGGGAGATGATCAATTGTATGCAGCTTTGAGAACAACATGGAAAAAACACCAATACATACTGTACATACACTACTGTGCAAAAGTTTTAGGTTGGGGTGAATGCTGTAAGTTAAGAATGCTTTAAGAAATAGAATATGTTTAAATACTGGTCTTCAAGCTCAAATACACATGGTGCCACATCCCTATAATGAAGGCAAATCTATAGGCATACTTTTTTGATAAAAGGACTTTCACAGCACCATGATTAAACAATACATTTTATTTATTATTTTAAAAATAGATAAAACAAATATCATATATGAAATGACAACAAGGTATATACATAATGTAAATATCAATAACAGCAGAAACCGCTTCATCTGTACTCAGGAGAATTATCTCCAAAATTGATATAGCCCCAACACCTTTCAATTCACAATTTGAATCTTCTTCAGAGAGAAAAAAAAAATACAGCAGAAGCTTATAACCACTTGTCAGTTAAAAACAATCTTTTCAGAGGACTTCTTCAGTGTCGCTGAAGCAAAAGGCCCCCCTAGTGATCTCTTGACAGGTGGAAAATTTAGGAAAATATTAACAATGGATGGTGGACTGCACATCTATGTAGCATTAGTTACCTGAAAGATGGGATTTCAACTACACCTTTTCCCTCTTCATGGGCATTAATTCTCATTTAGATCTGCTTCAATTTCAGGTAACCATGTTACCACATTGTCCTGCTGCAGAATACGTTTGGGGCCAATCACACATCTTCTTGATGGTATGGCATAATGGATAAATATATGCATGTATTTCTCAGCATTGAAGAAACCATTGATCCTGACCAAATCTCCAATTCCATTTGCAGAAATGCAGCCCCAAAATTGCAAGAAACCTCCACCATGCTTCACAGTTGCCTGCAGACACTCATTACTGTACCACTCTCCAGTCCTTCGGCAAACAAACTCCTGCTACAGCCAAATATTTCAAATTTTTACTCATCAGTCCAGAGCACCTGCTGCCATTTTTCTGCACCACAGTTCCTATGTTTTTGTGCATAGTTGAGTCATTTAGCCTTGCTTCCACATCAGAGGTATGACTTTTTGGCTGTAATTCTTCCATGGAGACCACTTCTGGCTAGACTTCTTCGAACAATAGATGGGTGTACCTGGGTCTCACTGGTTTTTACCAATTCTGTGCTTTTGGCATTGCTGGACATATTCTAATGTCTACTGGAAGTAAACATAATGTGTCTTTCATCTGCTGCATTTAGTTTCCTTGGCTTACCACTGTGTCTACGGTCTTCAACGTTGCTCTTTTTTGTTTGCTTTTTCAAAAAAGCTTGTACAGCACACCTTGAAAACCCAGTCTGCTTTGAAATCTTTCCCTGGGAGAGACCTTGCTGATGCAGCATAACTACCTTGTGTGTTGTTGCTGTGCTCAATCTTGGCATGGTTTATGACCTGTGACTTGAAACTGACTTCCGCAACCTTACCTTAGTAGCTGAGCTTGACCGTTCTTTGCTCAGTTTTAAGCCTCCTACACAGCTATTTCTGTTTCAATTAATGACTGTATTTCAGCCTGCATATGAAATGTATTTATTTATTTCAGGTAGTTATATAGCGCCGTCAATTTACGCAGCGCTTTACATATATATTGTACATTCCCATCAGTCCCTAACCCTCAAGGGGCGTACAATCTAAGGTCCCTAACTTACATTCATACATACACATACTAGGGACAATTTAGACAGGAGCCAATTAACCTACCAGCATGTCTTTGGAGTGTGGGAGAAAACTGAAGTACCCGGAGGAAACCCACGCAAGCACAGGGAGAACATGCAAACTCCAGGCAGGTGGTGCCGTGGTTGGGATTCGAACCAACGACCCAAATACTGCCAAGTGGAAGTGCTAACCATATAGCCACTGTGCTGCCCCAATTGATGATCATTACCCTTGCTTGGTATAATTGGTTTATCATACACCTGACTTAAATTCTACAAAATTCCTGACTTTGTGCAAGTTTACAAAGTGTGCAAGTGTAAGAATTGATGCTGATTTGAAGCCTAAGGATAGTTACACCAAATATTGCTTTGATTTAGATGTTTCTTCTGTTCGCTCACTTTGTATTTTCTAAATTGTAAAAATGAACAATTAAAATATATTTTTTTAAAATCATTCTTATAGCATTTCTTCACTCCCAATGAACCATAATAAAACAATAAATATCATCAGTGGCTGTGAATAAATCACCAAAGTGAATGTGATCCAAACAAGTCCATAAAAATTTTTTCTAGGTGAACAAAATGAGTGTTTATATGAATAACCATGTTCACGATATTCATCAAGATATATGACCAGGTGACACATGTTCCCACCACCACAAAACACACTGCCTCTTATCAAATTGATAGACCCCAAATTATAGGTGGCCTAATATAGCATAGAGCTGTACTGTATATGTCTTGCTTAATTGCTTTTTTAGCATAAGGAACAGATGTCACACATCTCTCCGCTAAAAAGCTTAGCCAAAAAGATGAGACGCCAAATAGTGTAATACGACAAATGTTTTAATAGAAAATTATATTTTTACTTACAAACATCAATCAATGCAATAATGCAGTAAAACGCTGCTGCTGCTGCTGCTGGCTCCAGATATGGGTGACGTCAGCACAAATCTCCGCCCAGCCCTGATGTATCTCAACAGACATTGTCAAGGGGATCAGCTGATTGTGCTGATGTATGTACCAAGTTTACATAGACATGAGCAAACATACAAGAGCTATGCATTGTACTTGGTGATGTAAGGCTTGGATGGAGCTGTTTGGCCTTGGAAACCCATTCCATGAAGCAGGGGCACTGACAACTCATGGGGCCCCTGGGCAATTGGTGATCATGGGGCCCCTGTGTCTTTGCCCACACTCAAAACACACCCAAAAAAGCCTATAAAAGGTACCAGAGGCATTTTAAGGGGTCCCCTACTGACCCCGGGCCCTCAGGCAGTGTCCGAGTGCTCAAATGGTCAGTCTGCCCCTGCCATGAAGCTCCCTATGCACTTGTGTGCTAATCTGAAGGCCACACAAAGTTTGGAGGTCTTTAGCTATTGACTCTGCAGACAGTTGGCGACTTCTGTGCACTGTGTGCTTCAGCATTTGCTGACCCCGTTCTGTCATTTTAAGTGGCCTACCGTTTAGTGGCTGAGTTTCTGTTGTTCCCAGTTCCTGTCACTTTGTTATAATACCACTAACAGTTGACCGTGGAATATTTAGTAGCAAGGAAATTTCACAGATGGACTTATTGCACAGGTGGCAATCTATCACGGTACTGTGCTTGAATTCACTGAGCTCCTGAGAGTGACCCATTCTTTCACAAATGTTTGTAGAAGCAGTTTGCAAGCCTACTTGCTTGATTTTATAAACCTGTGGCCATGGAGGTGATTGGAGCACCTGAATTCAATGATTTGGAGAGGTGTTCCAATACTTTTGGCAATCCTTTCTAGTGAGCACTGGTTTCTCCATCCTTTGTGAAGGCTCAGTTGTTCTCTCGTGGTTCCATGGAATCTTAACCTGGTTTTTATCGGACACCTTGCGAGCCTATCTGGTATATAATCTTGGCTGACCTTATGCACGTGGTTGTTTTCCTTGTTGCACTTAGCTCTGTTTGGAGCATATCAGAGCTGGTTGTCTTTTTGTGCAAGGAACCATTCCCAAGATGGCTCATAGATAATGTTTTTTGAGGCCTCAGGCTTCCTTTTTCCCTTGGTGGTTTTGGTTCTTTCTGCCTAAGCCAACACTCTATCCTTCATTTTTTTCTTCCCTGCTCTGAAACACCTTAAAGAGTTTTCTCTTGTTTGGACACGCATCACATGCTTTGGTTGGAGGCCGAATTGACGAGAGGGCTTCCCATGTGGCTGTGGTCTGATCACCACTGAATGTGATGACAGACAATGCTCAAAGAAGCACAGGTGTTGGTAGTTTGATAGCAAATGACTGCTACAGTCAGGGACATAGTCAAGGTCAGCCAGGGTCATATACAGTGAGACAGCAGCATGGTCAGGAAGCAGGCAAGAGTCGGTACAGAGCAGGCAGAGTAAAGTCCAGTAGCAAGCCAAGGTCAGTCCCATGAGATCAGACAGAGGTCAGAATCCAGTAGCAAGCCAAGGTCAGTACCAAGAGATCAGGCAGAGGTCAGAATCCAGAATCTACAGAGCAAGGTCAGGAACAAGCCAGATCAGCAACGGAAGATCAGTCAACATAAACAGGAACACAAGCACATGGATCACGGGGAGCTGAAGAACATCCAGAGATTAGTACACAGCAGAATCTCCTTTAAATAGGCAGCTTGGTGCTAGTGCGGGAGGACGTGCATACCAGTGCTCGCTGGTGCACAGAAATATGCCTACGTGTCAGTGCATGCTGGATATTAGCCCAAGCTCGTCTGTGTGCTGGTACATGTGTAGGAGCATTAGCTGCACAGGAATGAGCATTAGCTGCACGGAAATGAGCATTAGCAGTACCAGTTTCCTGATAACACGGTTCATTCTGTAAGTGTTTACTTCTTGGCTATGGCTGCCTTTTGGCAATCAGATTGCCTTTTACTCTCTGAGGGTTCTCTCAGGGGGCTTCCTGCTTGTTGTTCCACCGGTGTCAGGTAGATTAGGCAAGTCATTCATTGGGGAATTGGGTTCTTCTTTTCCTCCTAAAGCACTCTCCATCATCTCTATGGGTGTCTCTGATTTACAAAATTGCTAAGTTGTTGCTTCTCTTTATACATTTGCAAGCCTACCAGGTGGATGTTCAGGTCTACACTGATGCCAGCTTCATTTGCAAGGTGCTGCTGACTGCCGTTTGAGTTAGGATCCCTGACCTGTGTTTTCTTGTGCTGCCCACCCATAAATTAGAAACTAATATGCAGTTTGTCAGCTCTGCCTCTCCTATCCCTACAACTTAGCTTCTCTGTGCCCCTTTTTTATAGCGAGGAGGTTGACTTATCCAAACACCCCCACTATTAGCCCTTCTAAACCTGATAGCCATGTTTTAATGGTGTTGCAAAGCATTACTGAGGTGCAGGTAACTCTTCCTGGTGCATGTGTTTTAAAATTATAGTGATTCATTCACCACCAGAATGTTTGAAAGCTACATTCACTATTGTATAAATATATCCCTTAAAGTTTAAAGGTAAACTATAATAGCTTGGGTTCATTTTATCGTGGGTGTTTTTTTTTTTTTCTTTGCTTACATTTTGTAAACTTTAAATGCTTTGGGATATGCACACATCCTTTTTTTTTTTAGAACAAATAACATTTACGGTAATACATTACAAACGATTCCAGGAGTTCTATGAGTTAGACAAATAGCAAATCATCCCCTTCATTTAGACAAACTGACTCTCTATAGAACTTCAGTAATTCAGTTCTCTGAGAATATTTCACATTGTTTCCCAACAGGGGACAATAAAGATGTGAAAAGAAGACTAAGCCCCACCTGTGGGTTTCAAAAGGGAATGAGACAAATTTTTTCTTTTTTTATCCTGCTGTAGCTTTCATTCCCAAAGTAGCCACTGGACTATTGCCCAGGTTCTTTCCCATGTAGTGCAGAGCAACCAGGCACACAGCAACAGTTACTCCAACTGGCTCAATGAGCTGTGGTTTTATTTTAGGTAACTTGGATAAGGTGTAGGATAATATGGTATACTCCAAAACTTTGTACAAGTAGGACACTTTCCACTATATCTGAATGCTAGAAACAAATATCTTCTGCCATACTCAGAACAAAATCCACTGTGGAAGATTAAAAAATAAGTTTTTCCACAATGATACTGAAAAGGGCTGCCTGCATGAATCTCTCTGAAGAGAAACTACTTATCCCAGCCATAGTAAACTAGAGGGAGCTAGTTGGTATGTACCTTTGTGTGGAGGAACTATAGATCCAGGCAATCACAACAGTGCAACGTCCCAAGAACTGAAACCAAAACAGTTAAGCCAGGCGTGAGACTCTGAGAGTCAACTACTGGCTTTTTTACTAGTGAACAATTCTCTGCTTACAGGCACACAACATCCCCAGATCGAATCAGTACTCACAAATGTCCTGTAGGTAATTGGATGCCTCCTTCCAGTGCCGCAGATGTATTCCAGTGAAGATAACCAGACTCCTAACAATCTCCAGAACTCCTGTGATGGGACAATTGAGCAGAATAGTAAGAATAAAAGGCTACCAACACAGTAACTCACAGGTTACTGTGAGTGCATAACCATAGTCCTAAAGTGCCTCATCCTATATATTTATTAAATAAAAAGATAGCGTAAGCCATGGACTCAATAAAATGTTTAAATACTTTATTGAACATACACATATAGAAAACTACTTACAAAATATTACATAACAATGTCTAATATAAAATGGTCAGTACTTAATCCAAATACCATCAAAGAACCTCAATTGTCGTGCATATGCCATAGCTCGGCAATTACTACGTGGGGTGATTTTGATGTATTAGTGGTATTAGCTCGACATGTTTTGCGATTTTGTCACTTCTTCAGGAGTTGAGAAAGATGTCTAGATAAATAAGATAAGATACAATGATGAACCAAACAATATAACTTACATGAAATTTGTGAAACCTAAACATATCAATATAGCACGTAGTCTAACAACAGCAGGTAAATACAAAAAATCTAATTATGTACATTTGCACAGAGGTGGTGGCAGCAAATGCCAGGCAGAGCCTGCCAGAGATCAACCAATGAGAGGAGTCCAACAGGACAGAAGGGGCAGACGCTGTGCCCTGTAATAATGTTGAATATACAAAGATATTAATAAAAATAAAGCCTAAATGCCTAACTTGAGTAACATGCATAGACAGTATGGTGCTATATTGCTGTATGTACTAATTACAATAAATTGGGGTCAATGTTGTCCTATTAACTTCATGGGTATACACTGATAAATTTCAATCAATATCACAATACTCACCTCCCCGCTAAGTATGTGCAAGAACAATGAGGCCAGTATATGTTTTCCTAGTAACAAACACCTTCACTCAATCTTGGGAAACCAAATAAAGATACAATAATCTGTAAGGGAGGATTATAGGAAAAATAAACCCCAATATTCAGTAGAGAAAGATCCAGGTTCTCATGAGAAGTTTCTGTCCTATTAAACAAAGGGGCTTACCTCATACAACTAAATAGCACAAAAATGGGGGCTTGAGTTACCCTAATTGTTAGCAAAACACCCAGACCAGCCACCACCCATGTAATCTCCTACAGGGATTAGCTGACGGAGTATAAATATTCATGTTACCAATTTGGGTTGCTCTGGGACTTAGATGTGGAGCAAGGCACAGTGTTCTGGAATGCAGGGAAGAGCAGCCAAACCTGCAGCCTGTGAAATACAGATTACAGTGAAGCTAAATGCTAAATTTACCTAACCTAGCACCTGTCAAGAGGGTGCTACAAAAAAAAAAGTTTTAAAATGTATTTTAGTCTTGTAGTAAAAGAAAAATGTGCACAACTACTCCATATTACCTTGGACAGCTGTTGAGATTTAGGCCACATTGATTTGTCGACGTAATAACCTGCATATGAAATGAACAAACATTGCAGGCCTTATGCCAAATACAGTATATATAACGTAGATAGAAAATCTACACACATTGTTAAAGCTGAACCCCAGCCATAGTTTTGTGTTTGGTACATAGATTTTATACTGTTATCTCAATGTAGCTTGAGGCTACCAGATGTTCAGACTTGATCCCATGCCTTTGTCAGCATATATGCCAGTCAGCACCAGTATGGAATCTTCATAGGCTCTTTCCCCTTTAGTTCCATGGTGGAAGGGGATTTTCAAACAGATGGAGGAGTGTTTGTGAGCTTGAAATTTTACCACCTTGATTATTCCATGAACTGGTAAAGGGTTCTTTCATATAGTATTTTTTTTACTATTCTATTTTTAACATAAAGATAGCATGGATTTTATTTTTTATGTGCTATTTTCAAACAGCTACACTTTGCTTGTAGAATCCTAGACAGCACAGTATGAAGAAAATAGAAAATCAGACATCGGCGTTCTATATTTTTCTTTACATTTCTATCATCAGCACCATACTCCTTCTGCACAGTCACGCCCAGATGTATCAGTGTGAATGGCAAGCCTGCCTTAATCCTGACCAGTGGGTGTAGCTCAGCAGGGACAGCTATCATGGGAAAAAATCATGCACAACACATCAAAGGCAGAAGCGATTAGCCTGTTTTACAGTTTGAGCACAGCAAGGCTTTGATTCCACTTAAATTTTGGGGAGGAGAGAGAAATATTTTAGGAAGTATTTATTACAGCTGCAGCTCATCTGACTTGGAGACTGCTGGGAAAATTAATTGCTTAAAGTTCTTCTGAGTTCAGCAGGGAAAGGGGTTTATCTCTTGTTGTTACCATTTGTTGCATGTGCATTTTTTTACACATGATGTGGATTAT